AGAGAGAGAGAGAGAGAATCTTTTAATATTTATTTTTCAGTTTTTGGTGGACACAACATCTTTATTTTATTTTTTATGAGGTGCTAAGGATTGAACCCAGTGCCTGGCACATGCCAGGCGACGCATTACTGCTTGAGCCACATCCCGAGCCCATAAATATTCTCTTTTTCTGAGATGTGACACTGAAAGTAGGATTTCTGCTTGGCAAAATTAATTATAAAAGAATGATATAAAATTAAAAAAAACACAAAATGTTACATATGGAGTTTTCTATAGATGAAGAGCCAACCCACTACTCCAGTGAGATATGTCATTACAATATTCAGAGAAAACAACTGTTTAACTTGCACATTGTTTGGCTACACTCTAAGATATATGCACAAGATTTCATAAATAAGCATTAATCATGGAATTTATATAACAACATATTGCCATATACTGTATAAAACAAGTTCAGGGAAAAAATGCAAACACAATATATAAGCAAATCCACAGCTGGATACCATATTCTGCTTGCCATCTTAAAAAAAATGTGAAATTCTTATATTTATAAGAAGTTTCAGCCTTAGAACACATCCAGATGATGAAGCTGTCTTCTTATGTGGGCAGAACAGATGCATAAAAACACTGTTGTCAATCCTTATTTGACATAAAACAGTACTTGGAGATACAGTTTTCCCTTGCTTTTTGTGTAATGAAGTCTCCAATCTCAGGTTATAACTGTTTTTGTTTTAAAATAATGTAAATGGCTAAAGATCCAATAAAACACTTCTCAGAGAAAACTTTTAGTTCAAATTTTTTTCTTCCTTTGAATGATGAATAAGTTTCTTTGTACAATGAAACAATTTTGCTGCAAACCACATTTTTCAAAAAGGTTATTTTGATTTTTTTAAATAAGAGAAGTGACTAATAAGGAGAATATAAAGCAAAGGAAAAAATTTATACATACTTTAAAGAGCAGAGGTTTATTTACTTAAGAGAAATGATACTTTTATTGTCACAATTTCTAATTTCTTTGACTGTGATTATTAAAAAATTGAGTATGAATGTCAAAAACGTTGTTTAAAGTGCCAAGCAAACAATGATATAAACCTTAAACATATTTCTACTTTCAAAAAAGAAAGTTACTAACTCAGATTTTCTTCAAAAAGTAAATGTTTAACAAAATAAATGTTCAACTCTCATTTTTCAAATTGTCTTGAAAAACTATGCCAATGAGATCCACAATGAATTACCACTGTCCACCTATAGAATTAAATTAAATTCTAAAATTAAAAAACCTAATCATTCCACATATTGATGAGGATTAAGAGCATCTGAAACTTTCCTTCTTAACTGGGGAGAGTGTAAAAACACCACAATTTGATAGTTTTGAAAAACTATTTATAAGAGTCAGAAATTCTAATTTTGAGTATTTCCACTCATAAGTGAAAGCCTACATCCACAGAAAGACATATGTACACAAATGTTCACAGCAGCATTATCTGTAATAACCCCAAATTAGTAAGATTCTACAGTGGTAATCTGTCTGCAGACAGGGCCTATGAAACAGTCATGTTGTCACCAGAGACATGCAGCCCTAGTCTATTGGTCTTCTATTCTGGCCAGCATTATCTAACCTAATTGCAGTGCTCTTGGGCCATGAGCAATCTCAGAAGTAGACAACCCATAACAATGCAGGCCTTGGTTATACCTAGTGCTACACTGGACTCCATGAGATGTGGGCTCAAGGTATGACAAGAGATTGAAGCATTAGTGTCCCAGGAATGACATTGGAACCTCAGGTGGGCCCAGTGTGAGTCTGCTAAGAGCCAAGCAGAATTCCGTGGTACCTGATTATAGGCCAATAACTATGGATGAGATGAACGGGCCTTTCCAGTGGCCCCTGCCAGAGGCTTGTAGGATGGACTACTCTTTTTAGGTAAATCCTCAGTTTATGGTGAACAACACACCAATGACAAATTTTGGAAAAATTGGGTTTCGATCATAGCCTAGAGCTAAAATAGCACAAGTCATCAAAAGGAGACTCAGAAAACTGAACTTAAAGCACCATTTAGTGACAAAATAGTAGTAGTGACTACAGCCTCTGAGAAAAACAAGCAGTCTGCTTAGAATTTCTGGAAACACATGTATAAAGTCAAATTATAAAGACTAAGGTATGTATGTAATCCGTCAATGCTGAGATGTTTTCACACATGCATCAAGAACTTTGTTTTGCCAATAAAACTAAGGTACAAAAAACTGACCAAATAGTAATGTTTAACAAAAAAAAAAAAAAAAAAGTTCAACTCTCATTGAAATCTCAGAGAATTTAAAACATGAAATACTTAAAATCAAAGCTGAAATCAATGAAATAGAAACAAAAGAAACAATTTTTAAAAGTGACAACACAAAAAGTCGATTCTTTGAAAAAATAAATAAAATCAATAAACCGTAGCCATGCTAACAAAGAGAAGGAGAGAGAAAACATAAATTATTCAATCTGTGATGAAAAAGGAAATATCATGATGGACACTATGAAATACAGAAGATAATTAGAAATTATTCTGAAAATTTGTTCTCCAATAAATAGAAAATATTGAAGGCACTGACAAATTTCTACAGTCATATGATTTGCCCAAACTGAATCAGGATGATATACAAAATTTAAACAGATAAATTTCAAGCAATAAAATAGAAACACCATCAGAAACCAGCCAACCAAGAAAAGCCCAGGACTGGATGCATACACAGGTGAGTTCTACAAGACCTTTAAAGAAGAAACTAATACCAATACTCTACAAATTATTTTATGAAATAGAAAAAGAAGGAACACTTCTAAATTCATTCTATGAGGCCAATATCACCCTGATTCCAAAACCAGACAAAGACACATTAGAGAAAGAAAACTTCAGACCAATATCTCTTTATGAATATAGATGCAAAAATTCTCAATAAAATTCTGGCAAATCAAATACAAAAATAAAGATACTGCACCACAATCAAGTGGGGTTCATCCCAGGGATGCAAGGTGGGTTCAAAATATGGAAATCAACAAATGTAATGCATCACATCAATAGACTGATAAAAATCATATATGATCATCTCAATAGATGCACAATACATCACACATTCATGTTCAGAACATGAGAAAAACTATGGGTAACACATAAAACATTGTAAAAGGTATCTAGGCTAAGCCCCAGTCCAACATCATTCTAAAAGAAGAGAAACTGAAAGCATTCCCTCTAAAACCTAGAACAAGACAGGGATGCCCTCATTCAACACTTCTATTTAACTTAGTTCTTGAAACACTAGCCTGAACAATTAGATAGATGAAAAAGATTAAAGGGATACAGACTGAAAAAGAAGAACTCAAATTAGCACTATTTGCTGATGACATGATTCTATAACTAGAAGATCCAAAAAATTCCACCAGAAAACCTCTAGAACTAATAAATGAATCCAGGAAAGTAACAGGATATAAAATCAACACCCATAAATCAAAGGCATTTCTGTATATCAGTGACAAATACTCTAAAAGAAAGTAGGAAAACTACTCCATTTACAATAGACTAAAAAAAAAAAAAAGACTTGGAATCAACTTAATGAAACAGGTGAAAGAACTCTACAATGAAAATTATAGCACATGAAAGAAATAAATTAAAGAGGACATTAGAAGATGCAAAGATCTCCCTTGTTCTTGGATAGGCAAAATTAATATTGCTAAAAAGACCATACTGGGGCTGGGGACGTGGCTCAAGTGGTAATAGCTTGCCTGGCATGTGGGGGGTGCTGGGTTCGATCCTCAGCACTACATGAAAATAAAGATGTTGTAACCACCAAAAACTAAAAACATAAAGATTAAAAAAAAATTGAAAAAAAGACCATACTACCCAAAGCACTATACAGATTTAATGCAATTCCAATCAAAATTCCAATGGCATTTCTCATAGAAAAAGTAGTCATGAAATTCATCTGGAAAAATAAGAGACCGATCCCCCACAGCGGACACTCCACCAAGGGAATCAGCAGTCAGCATCTTGAACAGCTGAAATATCCACCGCCATTCTCCGACAGATCTCAACAACAAAACAGGTGTGTGGCACTCAGCCCATCCCCCATACATCGGGAACTCGCATAAAATCTCTCCTAGGCTTGCTGGGGGAGGGAGAAATCAGAGTGAGCCTGCATAAAGACTAGGGGGGAACTAGAGGCACCTGACCTGCAACCCCCCCTCCCCATTTGCAGCCAAAACGAAACCTGTCTAGCTAGCGCTGGGGAGGGGCAAGCAGGAAAAATCCAAAGGACAGAGTGCCTGGGATCCCAATTGCCAACTGTGGGACCCCGGAGATCCAGGCCCACTGATTTGTGTGGCCTGCCCTGCGGCTACAGAAGGCGTGGCGCCCCAGGGAAGCGATTAATTAGCAAGCAGGGAGAGGCTTGGCTGCGATCAGGTGGAAT